AGTGTAAGGCTAGAGGGAAGGCAGCTAGTCATCACCACCCACCGCCAACTCTTGGGCTACTCTTTTACCAACGAATAGTGGGATTGACCGTCACATTATAATGCCCCCCTCTTCGGCTGAAACGGCGAGCATGTTTGGTGGCAGATAATTACAAAAAAACAATATAGTTTCTTAATGTCATTTCATCTATACCGATTTCAGATTGAGATATCCAAGCTTCCAGAACTCAAACACCAAAGTTTATAGAACAATAAACTTGATCAGTTATGACATATTAGTTAGCCCTTACATTACGTACCCACGTTTAATATTGTTTGAACAATAAACTTGATCAGTTTGACAAAGTAGTTAGCCCTTACATTACGTACCCACGTTTAATATTGTTTGAACAATAAACTTGATCAGTTTGCCAAATAAGTTAGCCCTTACATTACGTACCCACGTTTAATATTGTTTGAACAATAAACTTGATCAGTTTGACAAAGTAGTTAGCCCTTACATTACGTACCCACGTTTAATATTGTTTGAACAATAAATTTGATCAGTTTGCCAAATAAGTTAGCCCTTACATTACGTACCCACGTTTAATATTGTTTGAACAATAAACGTGATCAGTTTGACAAAGTAGTTAGCCCTTACATTATGTACCCACGTTTAATATTGTTTGAACAATAAACGTGATCAGTTTGACAAAGTAGTTAGCCCTTACATTAAGTACCCACGTTTAATATTGTTTGAACAATAAACTTGAATAGTTTGACAAAGTAGTTAGCCCTTACATTACGTACCCACGTTTAATATTGTTTGCTGTATACGTGAATTGAGTTTCATCATTAAAAACGTTTACAACATATTCTAAAAATTACAGTGCACTTATCTTTTGCTAAGTTTCCATGAATAAGTTACATCTGATTATAAAATGCACCCGTGCTGGCGATATACGTCGATTCGATATCTTGGTAACAGGAGAACAATAATAAGACGTTCCATTAAAACATGATAAACCATTAATCGTATTAAACACCGTGAAAATTGGGACACCAAGTTAAGTTTTCATACGTTTGTAACGAGTTTGCGGTTGATTTAATCATATTCATGGCTTGCCAAAACAGATTAAGTTAGTGGTGTAAAGATATACATTTTTTTTCTACATGTTATTTAGCGTGAAACGAAAAGAGAAATCAGATATAATTTTATATTAAAAGCAATATACTTTTCAAAGGTTATTAAAATATGTTTCTGTTCTTAAAATCGTTTTTTTGCATCCCCTAGTAATTTTTCTATAAGTACGTTTTTTTGCATCCCCTAGTAATTTTTCTATAAGTACGTTTTTTTGCATCCCCTAGTAATTTTCTATAAGTACGTTTTTTTGTCATCCCCTAGTAATTTTCTATAAGCACGTTTTTTTGCATCCCCTAGTAATTTTTCTATAAGTACGTTTTTTTTGCATCCCCTAGTAATTTTTCTATAAGTACGTTTTTTTGTAATATAATAATTTATGACACAACTTCCACGTCGAATGACGGGATAATAATTAAATTAGTTAAGTTCTATCTGATGACTTTCAAAATGAAATGTGTAAGAAACCACAGGCTATGAAAGGCTTTAGTCATCATTATTACTCATGTGGCACACGTACGAAACCCTATGTCATCATTATTACTCATGTAGCGCATGTATGAAACCCTTGTTCATCATTATTACCCATGTAGCACATGTATGAAACCCTAGGTCATCATTATTACTCATGTGGCTCATTTATGAAACCTTGGGTCATCATTATTACTCATGTGGCACACGTATGAAATCCTAGGTCATCATTATTACTCATGTGGCACACGTATGAAATCCTAGGTCATCATTATTACTCATGTGGCACACGTATGAAACCCTAGGTTATGAGAGGCTATCAAGGAACGTGTGTAACAATGGTGACCATAGCCTCTCATAACCTAGGGTTTCATACACATCCTACAAGGAACGTGTGTAACAATGGTGACCGGGTTTCATACACATCCTATTAGGTTATGAGAGGCTATGGTCACCATTGTTA